CTAGAGGCATTTGATGTTTCGCCTGCATCTATGGCAAGCATCCTCAGAGGTGTGAGGATGCTTGCCATAGATGCAGGTGAAACGTCAGGAGAAATGCCTCTAGAACATGGCTCTATAGCCCGAAAAAACCCACAAGGACCTAGTGATTCCAGCCATGAAAGCCTTCGACAATACATTTATTGCATTTATGTTTTAATTGTTTTATAATTTGATATGTTATATTTATTATTTGTTGTATGATCCGGCATTGAATGTTGCCATAGTCTGTAAGCTGCTCTGAGTCCCCTTCGGGGGTTGAGAAGAGCGGGGTATAAATACAGTAAATAAATAAATAATAAATAAACTGTCAAACTGCTGTGGTACAAAGAAGCCTTCTCTTCCATCACGCACATGTATGTTCCTTGTATATTCTTGCTACTAGGAAAGGAGACCAGGGAGTCCCTATTAGTATAAAATAGTCAAAAGGGAGTATACTTCTGTGCCAAGGAAGGGAAAGGTGGGATAGGTAATTCAAAGTTGTCCCTTTTTTCAGACTTTTCTATATCTCTAAAGATCCAGGTTGCCCTATTATGCTCTCCTCTGGGGCTGTGCAAGGAGGTCTGGAGTAAAACAACTACCAGCCATGACTTGGTTTTGGGTAAAGGGGGTCTTTGTTACAGACATGTTGGCGGATTGGTACTTAGCATCCCTTTCAGCACACCCTTTCCTGTCACAGTATACTGGGGTATGGCTCTCATTTCCCTGGGGCTATGCCCATCCGAAATGTGGCATTTCTTTCTCTCTTGTTCTTGTAATCTCTAAATGTATGAACGCTAGTGGCCATTTTCTCATTTATAACCAATATCTTGACACTGCAGGTTTGGGCATCAGCAAAAGCCTTCTTGCTTCTGTCTGTTTGACAATACTTTTTAGTATATCATTTTTATTCACTACCATTTACACTTGCTGTAGTTCCAGAACCATGCCCTGGAAAAACCTTAACCTACAGCAGATGCTGGTAATCTGCATTTAAGAGGTCTGACCAATCCTCTGGCAGAGTCACTAGAAAGGATGACATTGCTTGAGGAATTGACATGTTTGCCAGATTGGGCAGTCAAATAGCTGCATGTATGAACAACTCTTGGAGGCCTCTCATCTCCTCCTTCAGCAATCCTCAAGGGTAAGTCATTTCTGCATGCCCTCTTTCATTTCAGTTTGGGTAGGCCATTAATGTACTCATGTTTCTACCTGTCTTGTGACATTAAATGTATTATTATTATTATTATTATTATTATTATTATTATTATTTCTATCTTGATTCACCTATCACTATGCAAGCAATTAATCAACCTGGGTTTACATATCTTTACCAGTTGGTTCAGGATCTAGCAGGACAAACAGACCACTCAGATGCAGTAATCTCTATCCTTCTGCCTACATTATTGCCTGCTGGGAGAAATTATGTTGTTTCTTTAGCAGCGCTTACTGCTGCTGGCTTGCCAGCACTTATGACAAGTGCAGCAGCGACACCTGAAGCCTTATGTATGACATTGCAGCAGTCATAGCCACATTCCCCCCTGCTCTGGTTACTACTGTAAGTCATCATTGCAGCATCCAACAGTAGCCTCTATTGCAGGGTTTCTCAACCTTCCTAATGCCGTGACCCCTTAATACAGTTCCTCATGTTGTGGTGACCCCCAACCATAAAATTATTTTTGTTGCTACTTCATAACTGTAATTTTGCTACTGTTATGCATTGCAATGTAAGTATCTGATATGCAGAATGTATTCCTGCTTATCAATATCTCAGTTGGAGCCCCAGGTGGCGCAATGGGTTAAACCCCTGTGCTGGCAGGACTGAAGACTGACAGGTCGCAGGTTCGAATCCGGGGAGAGGCGGATGAGCTCCCTCTATCAGCTCCAACTCCTCATGCGGGGACATGAGAGAAGCCTCCCACAAGGATGATAAAACATCAAATCATCCGGGCGTCCCCTGGGCAATGTCCTTGTAGACGGCCAATTCTCTCACAACAGAAGCGACGCTCCTGACACGACAAAAAAAAATATTCTCAGTTCAATTGTGGTGCTCAGAATTGGACACAGTATTGCTGTTGTTGTCTAACCAAGGCAGAATACAGGGGGAACATGGCTTCCCTGGATCTAGACACTATAACTCCTATTTATGCAGGCTGCGCGTCCCCCATTCTGTATCTTTGGATTTCATTTTTTCTGCCTAAGTGGAGTATCTTGCATTTGTCACTGTTGAACTTCATTTTGTTTGCTTTGGCTCATCTCTCTAATCTGTTAAGATCATTTTGAATTCTGCTTCTGTCTTCTGGAGTATTGGCTATCCCTCCCAATTTGGTTTCGTCTGTAAATTTTCCAGTTGTGATTGGTTGAATCTGTGGGAGACAAACCCATGGAAATGGAAGCCAACTGCATTTCCGGTGACTACTGTGAGCTTAATATTAGGATCAATGAATTAAAAAAATGAAATCTGAAGCAATTGCTTAGTCTTTTTCCTCTCTAACTCCCATCTCTTCTGTGGAATTTGTCAGGACATTTATATTTACCCACCAATCTACCTGATAGTCAACTACTTACCATGAATTTACAGGCAGAGTTGTTTTTCCTTTAGCATACCTTCCCAAAATATGCTTTCTGGCATAGATGGAAAGAAACTGAGGTACTGCAGATCTACTCCCTCAAAAGTGTTCTCAAGTAGCAAATGCAGAAAGATCACCAAAGGTAAAACAAGAAATGTGTTTCGAAGGCCTCTTCTACACTGTCCTTATATCCCAGGAACTGATCCAAGATTATCTGCTTATTCCAGATTATATGGCAGTGGAGAATCATATAATCCAGTTCAAAGCAGATAACCTAGGGTCAGATCCTGGTATATAAGTGTTGAAGGAGCTTAATTTAAGGACACAGTTGAGCTACAGTACCTGTTTGATCAGAATATTAGGATCCTACAACAATAACAAGCTAGCTGAGACTCACCCAAAGTTGTGCAGCATGCAGTATTTTAGAAGAGCCTCCTCATCCTGCATATCGAGAAGTATTAAATATGTTGAGCAGACCTGGTCTTTCATGAAGGAATGCAATACAGTAGAGTTTCAATTCAGACAAAGCTGCTTCTGTCAGTGGAACTGAAAGGGTGGAGAAAACCCATCATGCACACTTTCAAAACCAATTCTGAAGGGTTAGGTGATCAATGTGTTGTCAAAGATATTCATAGCCGGAATCACTGGGTTGACGTGAGTTTTCCAGGCTGTATGGCCATGCTCCAGAGGCATTCCCTCCTAACGTTTTGCCCACATCTATGGCAGGCATCCTTAGAGGTTGTGAGGTCTGTTAGAAACTAGGTAAGTGAGGTTTATATATCTCTGGAGTGTCCAGGGTGGGAGAAGAACTCATGTCTGCTTGAGGCAAGTGTGAATGTTGCAACTGGCCACCTTGATTAGCATTTAATGGACTTGCAGCTTCAAAACCTGGTTGGTTGCTGCAACCAGCCAGGCTTTGAAGCTGCAAGGCCATTAAATGGTAATTCAGTGCTTGATTAAATGCTAATCAATGTGGCCAATTGCAACATTTGCACTTGCCATTTAATTAGCATTTAATGCCAGGCTTTGAAGCTGCAAAGCCATTAAATGCTAATTAAATGTTTGATTAAATGCTAATCAAGCTTGCTAATTGCAACATTCACACTTGCCTCAAGCAGACAAGAGTTCTTTCTCCCACACTGGACATTCCACAGATATATAAACCTCACTTGCCTCGTTTCCAATAGAGCTCACAACCTCTACCATAGATGTGGGTGAAACGTCAGGAGAAAATGCCTCTGAAACATGGCCGTACAGCCTGGAAAATTCACAGCGACTCAGTTTGGCGATCTTCTGGATCATAATTTCAAAGGGTGAGTGTAGGGCTGCAGATGGTATAAGAGGAGAACTCCCACATTATGAACAGATTTCTGCTTGTGTGATGTTCAATTTTACTCTAGCTCAGCAGTTCTTTTTATTAGGCTACATTTTGCTGGTGAGTTTGTGCAACCTTGGTTCCCGTAAAACCCAACAATCAACTGAATGTGAATGTTAAGTCTCCAGTTTTTTGCACAGTAAAATTTGGATTTATAGTCCACAGTCTTTTACTTGCAGTGAAGTAACACCTCTCCCCCACATTCCAGTTTATGGTATTTTGAAGTCCTTCTTTCTCCTGACACCCACTCCTGAGATAACCAGGCTGTGATGAGGTAAAATGCATACTGTAGTAGTAAGCCAAGGCAGAAATGTATACATTTAATCCTGGTGGAAGCGTAGGAGTAAGCAAGGCCAGAAGCAGTTTCATTTATATACACAGGAAGACTTGCTTTATTTAATTTCGGAGCTGTATTTGAACTCCTAGTTTATACATTTTCACACAATTTGCACATTTGAAGTTTATGTAAACATTTTTGCATTTCCAGATTGGAGTGAGAGATGCAAACCCTATTGCAAACAAAGCTCAAAAAATGTACGATTATAAGAATGTAAGCAGGATACAATGATGATGGTGATAACAGGATTTCCTAGACCACAGAGATTTCAAAAATCCACTCGTTAATGTATTGGAAGCTCGGCCTGTCATTGAACATTGAGAAAACCAAAGTGCTCTTCCAGTGGGCACCAGCCAAACCGTCTGCAATGCCAGAAATACAGCTTAATGGTGTAACATTAGAAAATGTTGACCATTTCTGCTACCTTGGCAGCCACCTTTCCACAAAAGTCAACTTTGACATTGAAATACAACACTGCCTGAGCTCTGCAAGTGCAGCATTCTTCCAAACGAAGCAGAGACTGTATGATGACTGGGACATCCATAGGGAGACCAAGGTGCTTGTTTATAAAGCCAATGTCCCCCCAACCCTGCTAGAAGTCTGCGAAATGTGGACTGTCTAAAAAGATCACACTCAACTCCTGGAACGATTCTATCAGTAATCCTGCAAATCTTTTGGGAAGACAGGTGTTGCAATGACATGATAAAGGAGGAGAAGAGTGAGCAGCTGTCGGCAGACGGAGTGTCAAGGCGCGATGACGGAGCGGAAGGGAACGGCTAAAGTAGACTTCTTGAAGAAGATCGAAAAGGAAATCCAACAGAAATGGGAGGATGAGGGAGCGTTTGAGGTTAATGCTTCAGATGCTACTAGCCGAAAAAGCAATGGGAAATACTTTGCCACCTTTCCGTACCCATACATGAATGGCCGGCTTCACCTAGGACACACATTTTCTTTATCTAAGTGTGAGTTTGCAATTGGATTCCAGAAGCTAAAAGGAAAAGCTTGCCTCTTCCCTTTTGGGTTGCATTGTACTGGGATGCCCATTAAGGCATGTGCAGATAAACTGAAAAGAGAAATGGAGCTGTATGGCTGCCCACCAGAATTCCCCGATGAAGAAGAAGAAGAGGAGGACGACTCCAAGGAGGAAGAAGTTGTCATCAAAGACAAGGCTAAAGGCAAAAAGAGTAAGGCTGCTGCCAAAACTGGCTCTTCAAAGTACCAGTGGGGAATCATGAAATCTTTAGGCCTTTCTGATGAATAAATAGTGAAGTTCTCAGAAGCTGAGCATTGGCTTGATTATTTCCCGCCTTTAGCCATTCAAGATTTAAAGAGTATGGGGCTCAAGGTTGATTGGAGGCGTTCTTTTGTTACCACTGATGTCAACCCTTATTATGATTCCTTTGTACGATGGCAGTTTCTCACTCTGAGAGAAAGAAATAAAATAAAATTTGGGAAGACAGGTGGACAAATGTCAGTGTGCTGGAAGAAGCAAAGACCACCAGCACTGAAGTGATGCACCTATGTCATCAACATGTTGGCCAAATGCCCGATCACCATCTCACAAAGCAGTTACTATATTCCCAACTCAAGAACAGCAAACGTAACATTGGTGGATAGGAAACGAGATTTATAGATGGGCATAAAACCAAGCTTAAAAACTGGCATGGACACCAAGAACTGGGAAGCCCTGGCCCTTGGGTGCTATAAGTGGAGGTCAGCTGTGACTAGCAGTGCTGCTGAATTCGAAGAGGCATGAATGGAGAGTAAAAGGGAGAAATGTGCCAAGAGGAAGGCGCTTAAAGCCAACCCTGGCCAGGACCGCCTTCCACCTGGAAACTGATGTCCTCACTGTGGGAGAATAGGGATCCACAGCCACCTATGGACCCACTGCCAAGACCTTACACTTGGAGGACCATCATCCTCGGGCTATGAGGGATCGCCTAAGTAAAGTAAATCTAAAAGTTGAAAACCACTTCTAAAATTCATTATGTGCATGATATTTACAGTAAAAGTGGATGTCTTGCAGTCATTCCAGTGCTAGTGAATCCTACGAGGCCAGTAATCCATGGTTTGAGAATTACAGTCTCAAAATGGTTTTGGCATTACAACATTCATTCTGACATTGGAGGTTTCATGCTTTTCTTCTCTTTAAATGCTTAAGGGACGGAAAGGCATTTTGAGTCATCTGGTGCTGTTAACAAGACTTGCCACCTTTAAGAACAGACTCGTAATAATCTTAAAATACCCGTTTGTTAGAATTTCAATACTACCTGAAATTCAAACTCTTTTAATGAAAGCTATAAATCACAAAACCCTTCATCTTCCCTTCATTATACTGATGGATACAGTGAAATTATATTGAGAAAAACAAATATTCAACATTTAACAGTATTATAAAATGATTGCTTTGCATATAAACATAATACAGAAAAGAGAGGCAAATCCAGACATTCATAGTAGCAAAATGACATTGTTATGGACGTATTTAAAAAGGACTTTTCCCTGTTCGCTTCCAGACTTCCTTTGCTCCTTTAATGGTCTCTCTTTTCACACATTTCCAGTAACCCTCGACTCCTTGCTGCTGAGGTACCTGTTTTTTAAAAAAAGAAATGGTTATCACTTTGGATTTAAGTTGTATTTTTATAGCTGAATACATGGGATGAAGCAAATCTACTGATTTGGCTGACACAACATTCCTAGTTCTGACTCTAATACAGCTCTGTTCTCTGGAATGAAGAGGTCTCTGTGTGGTCTTCAGCATCAGTATCTACAGACGTGTATACACATAATTTCTTGTGGTTCGTTTATAGCTCTTTTATAGTTGTTGCAGAATCCCACAAAACTGCTAGGTTCTGCTTATTTGTCATTGCTGCTCATTAAGGCTGGACCTACATTGCCCAATATCCCTGGATTATATGTTTATCCCAGATTATCTGGCCGTGTAGACTCACATAATCCAGTTCAAAGCAGATAATCTAGGATCAGATTCTGGGATATAGGGCAGTGCAGATCCAGCCTAAGTCAGCCTTCCTTAAGGCCATAACCACAGTGAGAAAAGACAGTGAACTCTATGCTTTAATAAGAGTACACGGTGAATTTTGTCCTTAGAACTGAACTTTAAAAAACAAACAAACCAAAGATAATTTATAACTTGCCTAAAGATAACAATAAGAAACACTCTTACTGATCTTCTAATTCAAACCTTCAACTTCTTTCTAATGAATCCTGCACTCCTTGACCTGCTTCTTGTATGCAGACTTCATTTCCTGCTCTAGAAATATGCAGCTGTTTTTCAACTAAGATTCTGGGTCAACAAAAAGATGAACCAGTTTATTCTCCTTGTTTTTTCCCAAGTGGGCTGTGAAAACTATCTCCTTTGACTTATTATTTAGTTAGCTGATGCAGCAATTTAGTAGACATTGTACACGAGGGATGGTTGCCAGTGGGATATTTCAGAGAAGCCTTATCATTTTAAGGCATCTATTTGGTCAAAAACATCAATATTCTAAAAGTATGAAAATTTTTGAGCTATTGGACAACACGAGCAGGCTTCCCCAGGCTCCCCTTCCACTTAGTTTTAGGGCTAGAGGGGTGAAAATCACCACACATGGAGGGCATATCGGCCATGTTTAGCCCACCAAGTTTTATAACAGCACAGCAGCAGGAGGGAGGCAGGGCAGTATTCCTTCCTGCCAAATGTAAAAGATGCTCCACACACACAGGCCAATGCCCAGCCCTACTATTTCTCTTCTTCTTTAATTGGCGCCAATGTGTGTGTGTGTGTGTGGGAGGGGAACTCTCTTCCCCTTCCCATCATTTTGGCAATGGCATTGTTTGTCCTTATATCTTTCATTACGATCTGGATTAAAACGTTCAGTTACTTAAGATACCACTCCTCCTGTGATGCTTTTCTCTCTGTCTGTAGAAAAGAACTGGGGTTAAATACAGGGCTTAAGCTACTCCTCCTCCTGTGAAGCTTTCCTCTCTGTCTGCAGGAGAGAACTGGGGTTAAAGACAGGGCTTAAGCTACCATTTCTCCTCTGATGCTTTTCCTCTCCATCTGCAGAGGAGATGAGTGGTGGGTGGGTGAGGCAAGGCAGGCAGCAGGCGAGGAGGATAGTATTATTGTCCCCCAATTGACCCAACAGGCAGGGCTCAGAGGGAAATAGCACCAGCAATTCTCTGTCAGCTGTGTGGGAGGAGCACCACATGGGCCGAAAAGCAGGCAAGGAAACGGTACCCATTCCTGCTTTCTTTTGTGTCGAGGTTATTTTCATACTGGAGGGGAGTGGGACTATTTTGTGCCCCCCAATGAAACAAACAGAACGAAAACACGAATAAAATGGCACAAATGGTTACCGCACACATGACTAGAAGATACTTTGGGAAAAGTGGTACTTTAATCTCTTCTGTTCTGATGTCCCCCCCCCCCCACCCCAATCTGCCAATAGGCATACTTGCTATTCATAGCACTCCTAAGTGAGTAGCACACACAAGCATGAAGGACATGTAGCTAAGCTGTGATTCTTTACATCAGTGGTTCTCAATCTGTGGGTCCCCAGGTGTTTTGGCCTACAACTTCCAGAAATCCCAGCAAGTTTACCAGCTGTTAGGATTTCTGGGAGTTGAAGACCAAAACATCTGGGGACCCACAGGTTGAGAGCCACTGCTTTAAGTGATATTTATGCCTTTTACACAACTGACCTTCTTCTCTATGGCACATCTGTGTTATTTTTTTTTATTTAGGAAGGTGACTTTTCCACTAAATGGAGAAACTGTTTTGTGTTCCTCTCTGGAATTGTGTTACTAATCCCAGTTTTGGTCTAGCATTGGTTTCCGTTTGTAGCAGAGTGAACTGAAGCCTAAATACAACATCACACCTCTTTTGAGTAGGCCCTTTGAAATAAATGAGAATGTCAGATACTCCTAATCTAATTCCCCTTTGATCTACTCCACAAGAATACCGGATTTAGCCTTGAATTATGCAGACTAATCTCAGAGTGTCACTTTATATTTCTAAGCATTTTAACAGAAGAATATTGATATGGCTGGGTGGATCCACATTGAAGATTAACTAACAACTATAGAAAACAATGTAATGTGCTAACAAACTGACAAAAACATTGGCTTTCATTAGAAAACTCTTCAAATATCTATTTTCACAATTGTGATTATATGGTCTATACATTTTCTCTCTATTTGATTAAGTATACATACAGCTAAACCTTTTTCCTGAACATTTTAGGGAAAAAGTTTTTGTTACCCTTAATCCTCGATGCATTCTGTTCTTCAGAACGCCAAGGAACTCTGTGTGGCTGAGGCAATTGTCTCCATCTAAATCAAAGATTTTAAAGATGGTGTCCAAAATATTTTCTGAGAGTTCCAGCCCCGTAACCACTTTCACAGCTCTCTTGAATTCAGCTAGCAAAAGAAAAAAAAATAACAATAAAGTAACAACTGAGATTATTGGTCAATTTTATGGCACTACTCCGTGGAAAGGTGCCCTATAAGTAAGAAATAAATTATTCCTCCCGAACATATACAACATTAATATGAGCTGTGATAGCCAATAAATTATTAAAATATAAATCCATGAGGGCTACTGAAATCGCTTTACTGCAGACTATGAGCATTGCATGAGGACTTTGAAGAAGTAGGAATGCTTTTTACAGAAGAAGAAAGATTATTAGGTTTGAATAGTCCTTTTTTCAAATGAATTTGCATTTAGGTTACAGTGACTTGTTCAACAAGTCTTTAAAATTGCTGTAATATCACAATGAACTACTTGTCTTCTTTATAATGTCTTTCTGAATGACATGGCTGTTTTTTTTTCTAGAGTGTCTGCAGTATTCAAAAGACCTGAAATTTGCTTCCCCCCCCCCCCCACTTCCCCCTTATTTTATCTTTGTCTGGAGCTCCAGGACTCCTTTTTCAGCACAAAGTTTTGCAATACCAAGTTATCTGTACATTTTTCTCGCATTTTGTAAAAAACAGTACATAGAATATAAAAACAACAAAATGGAAAGAAGTATAAAGCTTACATCCAGCACATTATACATATTTAATAATACAAATCAAATTCAAATGGGGTTTATGAAACCCCATTTAAAACCATCAGGATAATTCAGTATCCAGCATCAATGTAGCTAACATCTTCTTCCCCTTCTCTCCTATTGCAAAGCAAAAGCCCCCCAAAATCTAGTCTAGATCATGTTTTAGAGCACATGGGGAATTGCCAGGAAAGGGACATGGCAGTTCTGAGGCAATGAGATCCTAAGGAAATACACAATTGTATTTTGGCGTACATCTGTATAACTAGAAGGACAGGTATGGCAGAAGAGATTAGAACAGTAGCTCAACATGCTGCCTGTGGAGCCTGAGGATGTTGACAGGAACCCTGGAAAGGGGAGAGCCATTCCATGTATTCTGAATCCTTGCCCTTCCTGACTTCCAGGCCAGAAAGAGATTGAATGAGTGGGTGAAGGGGGTAGTCCATGGCTTAGAAAAGCTCCAGCTTGCCTAAAGAAGGCAGATGTCAGGCCTGTATTTAAAAGGCCACCCCTGAACATTTCTGTAATGGATGATTATCAGCCAGTGTCCAACTTTTTGTTTTTGAGCAAGGTTTTAGAGTGTTTTACAGCAACTCCAGTCCTTCCCGGAAGGGCAAACCCAAAAAGTGGTGCTGGGGGACTCCTGTTTGAACCCCTGGCCATTGACCTGTGGGGTCCCTCAGGACCCTATCTTGTTCCCCGTGCTATTCAACATATACATGAAACGACTGGGAGATATGATCTGGAGTTTTGAGGTACGGTACCGTCTACGCCCTATAAGCTTTGGATCCAACCTATCTTCAAGACCGCATCTCCTTCTATGAACTGGCACAGGCTCTGAGATCTGCTGGGGAAGCCCTCCTCTCAGTCCCACCACCGTCCCAAGTAAGATTGGTGGGGATGAGAGAGAAGTCCTTCTCAGGTGGCCCCCCAGCTCTGAAATGCTCTCCCTTGAGAAATTGGGTTAGCCCCAACCCTCCAAACTAGTCTAAAAACATGGCTTTTTAGACAGCCTTTGACCTCGAGTAGATTTCAATGGTTAGACTTAGTGAATGCTTCACTCTGACACTTTGGATCATTAATTTGATGACAGCCAACTTTATCCACAGGGCTTGCTGCATTTTATTAATTTTACAAATTTTATTATATGATGTTTTATGTGTGTTCGCTGTTGTAAATTTATGTTGTCATAATTTATATACTTATGTATTGTTTATTTTATGTGTGGCAATTGGAGTGCTTTTGTGAGCCGCCGCGAACCCCTTCAGGAAGATGATGACAGGGTATAAATAAAGTTTATTATTATTTATTATATGCAGATAACTCAATTTTATTATTCCTTTCCACCCAAACCCAGGAGGCTGTCCTGGTCCTAAACTAGTGTCTGCCATCATAATAAACTGGATGAGGCCAAACAAACTAAAACTTAAACCAGACAATACAGAGGTGTTCCCAGTCAACTGGAAAGCAGATCAGGGAACAGGGATTCCGTCTGCACTGGATGGAGTTACACTCCCCTTGAAGACACAGGTTCGCATTTTGGGTGTGGTCCTGGACTCCATGTTGAACCAAAAGGCTCAGGTTTTTTCAGTAGCCAAAAGTGCCTTTGCACATTTAAAACTTGTGCACTAACTGCTACATTCCTTGAGGGACAAGATCTGGTCATGGTAGTACATGCCTTAAGAGTTTGGTAGTCACTGACTAAAAAGAACTAAGAGGTAGTGGCACAAAAGAATTATATACAACATGGTATGAGAAGGGGCTTCCAATGCCATTTTCTTTCTTTGTAGATTTAGAGCTGCGAGGTTCATGTGCTTACCCTGTTTAACTGGACGGCTAGCTACTGTAAACATTTTCAAGGCAATTGAAAAGTCTTCTAAGCGGTTTGTAAACTGGCAGAATGTTTTAAATTCCTCCATACTGATACTCTGGAAGAAAAGAAACAGATTTAACTTGTGATTTGTAGGCAATAGATAAAATAATCTTAAGGATTTAACAGACTAATACACGATTAGGCAAATCAAAAAGATTGTAACAAAAAAATCATAAATATTGCAACAACAAACTGAGAATAATAGTTTTATTATGCTTTAGAATTGATTAAAATGCTCTTCAACAGGACTTTAAATAAATTAATTTAAGTTTAGGTACACTATACAAACCTCCCCTGCCTGGATTCTTTCCTTCACATTTTGCCAGTAAATTTCATTATTCTCCTCTTCGGTGAAATACAGCAGCCACTCTACGAAATCTTCCTTTCTCATGCAGGTTAGACCTTTAGCAAACTGAATGAATTCCATTTCTTGCACCTCTGTTTGTAAATTCTGCATAAACCTAACAAATAAGAATTACATCATAATTCAACATATACCAAAGAATATAAATGACTTTAGTGGGAGGATTCAAAGCAAACTCGCACATTTCAGGTGTATAATGATATCACTATATACAGAAATAACATCAGTTTGCTTCACTATTTAAACAAAGTCAAACAAGATCCGAAATCCACAAAAAATATATCATTATATTGAGGATTCTTCTGTTGTAGCAAAACGTGGATTAGAGTAATGCAAGAAATGCTGTATACAAAGTGCTGGCTCCTAAGTATGTAGAAATGCCAACTTCTATAACGTAAAACACATTAGAGAGCACCAGAAATTATATAAGGCAAAGTAAGAAATTTATTATTTACTGATTCATGTAAGGTGAGTTTTTTAAATATAAAAAGCAGTAAGAGCAAGGATGTGCGGTTATTAACTTTTGTACTGTAATTCTGTACATATTTTCCATTGAGTAAATACATTTAGAGCTGAACTGTTAATAATGTAGTTTTACTTTTATGAAAAAAAAGGGTTCTCTCTGTGTTTTTAGCAGTTCTGCCACTAGGGTGCTCTAAATCCACATATATGTAATAGATGTTGTAGGTATGGGCTGAAAAATACTACTTAGGTAAATGGCTATTTGCTGAGAATTCCTTGATAAAACAAAAGCCTATGACATTAGTAGGGTTGCCATTAGTTGACAGGCAATTTGAAGGCACATAGACATGAATGTATGTTCAAGTATTACTTGAATGACAATGTGAAAAATGAAGGTCAGCATAAGACCTATTTAACTAACTAAGCAGACATCACACAGAACCATAAAACAAGTCAGGTGGTCTTAAAATACAGATTATTTGGGAAATGCTATCAACAAAAAACTTAGGACATTATGAGCCAATTTTATTTTTTCCAAGGTCACCAAGCTCAGTTTTAAGACTCAACTGAAATGTGGACCTTTCAAATCCCAGACCATCTTCTATGCCCCATTAGCTTCCATTTCAAACAAAGCTAATTGTTACAGAAGCACTCTATATTATATTTTTATTTTATTTTTATATCTAATATTACGTATACCTAGGAACTTTACAAAATGAATACCGTGCAAAGGCCATACATATTTTAGAAAAATCATTTTATTTATTCATTTCTAGAGTGAAGATAAAGTTTCTTTCAGTTTCATCTATGCTGAGGATTGTGCCATCACCGCTTAAGTAGGGAGCTTTGAAATGGTTCAACAGAAGCTCTCTGAAGCTCTAGGTGCTCTTACTGCCTATTACAGGGAAAACCACATGATTCCTATTCCATCTAAAACACAGACGTGTGCCTTTCATCTCAAGAACAGACAAGCATCCTGAGCCCTGAGGATTACCTGGGAAGGAATTCCATTGGAACATTGCAGCACACCAAAATACTTGGGAGTTACTCTGGACCATGCTCTGCCTTACAACAAGCACTGCTTGAATATCAAGCAAAAAGTGGGTGCCAGAAATAATATCATATGAAAGCTGACTGGCACAATCTGGGGATCGCAACCAGACACAGTGAAGACACCTGCCCTTACGCTTTGCTACTCTGCTGTTGAGTATGCCTGCCCAGTGTGGAATATATCTCACCACATTAAAACAGTGGACGTGGCTCTTAATGAGACATGCCGCATTATCACAGGATGTCTACTCCCTACACAACTGGAGAAAATATGCTGTTTAGCCAGTATTGCACCACCTGACATCCATCAGGAAGTAGCAGCCTGTAATGAAAGGACCAAGGGACTGACATCTCCAGCTCATCCTCTGTTCAGGTATCAGCTGGAAAGCCAATGCCTTAAATCAAGAAATAGCTTCCTAAGATCCACAGAGACACTCAGAGGAACACCTCAGTAAGTGAGAGTCCAAAAGTGGCAGAATAAAATCCAGAATCTCAATCAGTAGCTGATGCCAAATGAGAAACTTCCACCTTAGCACACAGAAGACTAGGCAACTTGGAAGACATTGAACAGACTGTACTCTGGCACCACGAAATGCAGAGCCAACCTCAAGAAATGGGGCCACAAAGTGGAGTCCACAATATGCGAGTGTGGAGAAGAGCAAACCACAGACCACCTACGACAATGCGGGCTGACCCCTGCCACATGCACATTCTTACAGCGATACCAGAGGCACTCCAGGTAGCCAGGTTCTGGCAAAAGGAAATCTATCATCAAGTTTTAAAACTTTTGTTTGTGTCCTTTAAAATATATTATAATTGTACCAAATACATGACTTTATCATTTTTCAAATTCTTGCAAACTGTTTTTAAAACTTTGCATATATGCAAGTGTGTCCCCAAGTCCATGGACCCTCACATAAAACAACTAAGCAGCTTTGCTTTCTCAAACTCACCACATAACTTGAACACCAGCTAGAACTTACTCAAAATTAGCTGAACAAGAAATGACATTCCTCATTTCCATCAATATGCATTTTTAATATAGAGAGTTTTGTGTATCATTCTGCCAAATATGATTTATTGGCGTAGTTGTGATTTACTGTGCATTTGTGCTGCCTTTCCACTAAACGAAAGGTTTTTATGGTGCACTTACTGTTTATGTTAATGCATTTTAATATCGTAATTGCTGTGAGCTGCTCAAAGAACATAACATTTGTGGATTGCATATGCACATTCAATAAAGGACAATTTTAATCATTGTATTCTGGTAAGGTGCCTTGTTAGACAGAAAAATGAGTTATCAGAATACATCAGAACACTACATTTAGTTTTCTAGCAGGTATCTGCTTTGGAAGCTACTAAGAAAAAAGTGCAAAGAACAAGCTATTTACATAAAGATTAATTTCAGATCAGTTTGAATAGCATTAACAAAGAGAAAGGTAAAATTTGCACATAAAAGCAGTATTTAAAAGTACATGTAGTAAATGTAGATAATGCAGAAGAGATTTATCTCTTTACAACACCCCTATTAAAACAGCTCCACTGGCTGTCAATAAGTGTCTGGTCCTAATTCAAGATGCAGGTAATTACTTACAAAGCCCTAAACGGTTCAGGCCCTGCCTATCTTCATGACTGCGTTGTTGTTGTTGTTGTTGTTAGTAACATTTGCAATGCTTTCCACAATCTGATGAAAGGTTAAACAGTTCCAAGAGATGGAAATAGTGGTGAGGTACTTGATCTGGATCTAACTTTTTCCACCAAAATTGGCAACTGCCTTCTATCTTGGATCCTATCCTGTTGCTTTTCAAAATATACTGTGGATGGCTGGGAGATTGGGTTGTTGTAGGTTCTTCTGGGCTATATGGCCATCTTCTAGAGGCATTTTCTCCTGACGTTTCGCCTGCATCTATGGCAAGTATCCTCAGAGGTAGTGAGGTCTGTTGGAAGTAGGAAAATGGCTGGGAGATTCTTGGGAACAATGTTTTAGAGTGTAAATCTATTTTTCATATTTTCTTTAAATTCTAACGGGATATTCTTTAGGTTATATTTTAGTACAATTATTGATTTAATGTCCTTCTTCAGCTTTATTGTAATTTTTGATATTAGCAGTTCATGGTCTGTGCCACAATCTGCTTGTGATCTTGTTTTTCAAAAGAAGAGCTTCTTTCATCATCAAATGATGTAATCTCTTTGGTTCATTGAAGAATGTGCTTGAAATTAAAAGACTGTTGGTCTTACAAAATTTAATCAGCCACTTTCCAGCTTCATTTCTTAATCTACAATCTTCAATTCGGCTCTGTTTCTGATTTCACTGCTAACATGTCCTGTTTTAGTGTATGGTCCATTTCCTCCAGGATATAGGTGTTGGCTCTTTTGGTTTCTTCCACTTCAGCCTCAGTAGTTGGAGCATAAACTTGGATTATGGTTATATTAATAGGTCGACAGAGAGACTGAGCTCAGGAAGCAAATGCTACTATTGCCTTTTGGAGAGGAAGCCAGCAAGAAAGGCGAAGGGCGAATCCTCCAAAAGCATTGCTTCCCTGGGATAGAAAGGGTCCATGCATGACAAATGGAGAAATTTTGAGGACTGGACAGCGGATAGGGCACAGGTGCCCCAAGTCTGCTGATGGACCAGAAGCACCCAGTTTGCTAACTTCACCATGGCTGCCCACTCAAGCTTGTATAATGAACAGAGGAATTTGCTCTGCATCCAAGCAAAAGAGAGAAGGAATCAGGAAGCTCACCAAGAAAGTGAGATATTCCCTGGAACCATTCCCCTATTTGAAAAACCTTACAAGATACACAGAGCAGACGAGCTATCCAATCGAATTCAACTGTTTAGTCATATTAATACATTTTTCCTGAAGTCTCATTGGTATTATTTGGCCAGGATTTGTGTTATATTACTTGACTGCTTTTGCTATCTCTCTCTTCGCTATTAATGAATGCCACCCCACTTGTTCTTAGTTACTTGAAGTTACCTCAATTTGTCTCTCTTGTCCAATGTTACAAATAAATGTGAGTTTAAAAGACTGCTTAACCTTTCTAAAAAAATATTAATAAGCTATTCCCACTCCACACATTTTAGCTTGGCTTTTTTTTTTTTGTAAAATAACCATGATAGCAGACAAATGTCACTTCAGTGGAGTACTCAAGAGAATTATGGTGATAAGACCCAAACTCTATAAAGTGATTTGACTTTTGCCTCAAATCTGCCTTTGTGTGAAATTAATTACACCTTGAGCTTTTTGTTTTTAATTATAAAGCATAGTTTTTTATGTAGGGATTTTGCAAGCAAAGAGGATGGTGGAGAATGCAAGATTCAGTTGTGGAATGGATCCACCTATTAGTAATTTCCCTGCCAAGCTCCAAAGGGCACCAGCCACTACTGTGGCATGATTTACAGTGGCAAAAAACTGAACACTAGCCTAGAGTTATGTGTTGCAAACAACAAATCAGTCTATGAATTAGGAGACGCAATACTAGGCAATTTTATTTTAGCATTTTGGAAAAAAGGGAGAATTTATTAACCACACATAAAAGCCATTAAGCCTTATGAATGAATCCTTCCCCCCACCTTGCCTT